AATGTTCTACATCCTCTTTCTTTTGAATTATGTTCAAAGAGATGTTGAATTTTAATAGCGCTATGTGAAAGAGCTGAGTGAAATCTCACTGAAGCTGCCGGACAAAATCATCACCTTTCATTCAAGATAAATGTAAGAAACAAGCAAACTCTTTTATGAAGCCTGATAACTGAAATTACAGAAGTTATCATCAAAAACAAGAGAAACATGAAGCATATGGACCTGTGAGCTTCTCTAGAAACTGATATGCTTAATGCAGAGAGAGAGCATTAATCAAGGCAAGATGATTAATCCTGATAAGCAGCATAAATGTGTAAAAGGAATAAAGACACCACCAGCAAAGCTCGACAAACTAGCATTGTGATCCTGGTAGAAGAAAAACTGAAAGAGAGGTTGGGGGTAAAACACTGGGTGAATGAGATTTGGAAAATAGAAGTTATTGACTGTTATTTGATTCTGTCTTTGTTCAAGGAAATAAAACTCTGTTATTTCTTTGTAAATAAAATGGAACTCTATCAAAGCAAAACCCTGTCCTGAGGATGAATTTTCTTTCCAGCTGAGAAGAAAACAACCCACAGACCTGACAAATTGTTTAACCACTCAGGTAAAAATGGATTAATACCATGTGAGGACAGTCATCCAGTTTTCAAGAAAGGGAATCATGAGGTGGAATTCCCACTGAACAAGAATAGAATCAATAGAGGATGTATTTCTCAGAAATAGTAATTGGTAAAAAATGAAAACAAGACCAGATAAAATTAAAAGAAGACTTAAATCAGCTGGAGGCTTTTCAAAATTAATTAAAGTAGTGGCTGGAAAATTTCCAGAGTGGTCCAAGAGATGACAAGCGGGTAGAGATGAAATCTCTGCTTGAGCTGCAAACACAGAGCATCCAGACAGATTAAGAAGCCCTGTGGCAAAACAGATCAATGAGATGACTGACAACACAACTCCTGCAGGCTAGAAAGTTTTCAAAGGAATAGGTAAGCCAGGAAAGTTGGAACTAACTTGGCACTTGCTAACTTAGAGAAGCTATGCCAAGAATCTAAGGAGCTGGAGAAATAAACCAGAGGGACACAGATAAGCATGGAGGCTTTTTGCCATTAGAAAAGTCAGTGTAAGATTGCTGCTTTTGTTATCATTATTTTTCTTACAGTATATACAAATTCTAACACCATTTGCAAATAACAAATATCCAGGCATTTGGACCATCTCCAGCTCAAACATGTGCCTTTGAAAGAAAAACTTTCATCAAGCTGATCCTTCAGGTCAGCTTGGAAACCCAAATTAATAGAAAGTTTTACAGAAAATTCTGAGACTAATGGCCTACTCTAGAGGCCCAAATTAAATGGTACTGAAGAATGATACCTGCTCTTCTCCACCCTACCAAAAAGACTCAATCTTCCAAGAGGTGGTCACTAGTGAGATAAATGGAACTGGTGCCTCTTCAATCCCATAATGGTACTAGGCTTAGATCACACTGAATCACACAGAACCACTGGGTTGGAAGAGATCTTTAAGATCATCAAGTCCAACCCAGCCCTAACACCTCAACCCTGGCACCCAGTGCCACACCCAGTCTTTTTTTCAACACATCCAGGGATGGTGACTCCATCAGCTCCCTGGGCAGGCCATTCCAGTACTTTATTACCCTTTCTGTAAAAAACTTTTTCCTAATATCCAACCTATAAATATAGGTGCAGCTTAGACCTCACCTGTACTAAGAATGCTAAACTACATGAGCCTGGGCCAAGCACCATCAGTGTTGTATGAAAAAACTCTGCCTAGTTTGAGAAAGCAAAGGCACTGAGCTGACTATGATCTTTGTTTGGATCTGGGCAACTCAAATACAGTAAATGGGAATTTGTTTGCTAAGTGTCTAACAGCACTTGCACTAAAATACTGGGCACTGGATCAACATAACAGGTTTTAGAGGGGCCTGCCAGTAAAACTAGAAAAAAAGATTGCCCAAAACTAAATTATCTGTTTGTTAAAACCTACAAAGTATTGTGACATTCCACAAATCCATTCATAGCAGGCCAGACTACTTGCTGCTGTAGAAGTAGTCACTGACTGGTGGGAGAATATCATGAAAGCTTGAGAGAAAGCTGGTCTAGAAACTATATCTGGAATAAGAGCATGAAATGCAGACAGTCAGTACAGATCGGAAGCAGTCTGGATTTCATTGTGGATATCAGCTGTGTTGCGAATGCCAAGAAAGTTGCCTTACACTGTCAAGTAAAACAAATGTTCTGTAGACAAGAGTTTTCTAGAAGTCAGCTTGAAAAGCCTACAGGAGTGGAGACAATTACAACAGGTTCTTGCTGGGGCAACCTTTCAGCCAAGACACAACGGAGTGACTGATGACCACTGTGCACCCTGACTGTTGGGAATCTCAGCAGCCAAATCTCTGCAAAATAGGAATCAATACATCCAGCAAATATTGCCATGGAAGGTGGTGTCAAGCTCCAAGAGTTTCTGTTTGACTTGCTAAAGCATGACATTGTGCATTTAGACAAGGAACAGCAGAATAGTCCCAGGTCCCTCTGGAGGCAGCTGCTCTTCTCACTATCAGTCAGAAAACTGCTTCACTGAGCACAAAAAGGGAAAACAGAAATGCAACTCTGCAACAGCTGGCATTAAGTGGAGGAGGGAGAGGGAGGAGAACCACTGAGAAGATGTATCAGGAATGAATAATTGAATCATTAAACAATCCCTTGCGGCAGCATCATGGAAGCACCATAAACAGCAGAAAACTGTATCCAAGTAAATATCAACTGACTGTGCCTTGACAGGAGTTAAGACTGTTTTCCATAGCAAGTTCAGGTTTCCTATGCTTTACATTAAAATAGGCACAATTAGGTGAAAATAGAAATTAACTTTTCTCCTGCAAGTGGGCATAAACTGCAACATATTCAAGCCATGGCTTTTGACTTGCAGACTTCTTTATTTTCATGGTCGTGGATGCAGTGTTCTGCAAGGAACTCATATCTCTTGGCCTGTTTACTACATCTGGTTGACAGCCTGGGCTGTGTAAATGGTCTGGGACAAGAACTTGGACATTGAATTGTGATTGACAGGCAGTTTAAGAAAAGTGGGTCATGGACCAACCCAGGACACTGGCATAGGTAGATTGTTATGTTGAAGTGACAGACATCATCAAAATAAATTTCAAAAAACACCTTTTCTATGGAACCTAACCGAAGAAATAGTAGAAGAGCATCACATCAGAAATGCACACAGGCACACTCAAACCAAAGCTGAACCACGGCTCCCAAACAGCTTTTGGTGAGATGTTTACAGCAAATCTGGTGGAGGGCTGGAGTGAACTTTCACTGATGGATTACTGGAAGAGAAATAGCAAAAGCAGCAGAAGGAAAGTGAAGATTTTCCACACAAAATAGCATGAGGAAATAAAGAAAGAGAACTTTTAAGTATGAAGTGGAATGAAGAAGATGGTGCCACAGAACAAAGTTGTAGTCTTTGTGACTGTGCAAACAGGGTGCCTAACTTTTCAAACTGATGTGGGAGAAATACAAAATATATCCTTCATACTATGTTTGTATGATTAATTCTGATTTCTGCAATGCTTACTCAAAGTGGGCTTTTTAAATGCTGTATTTAAAAACAAGAACATATATTCTTCAACTTGTAAAGAGGCATTTACAGGTCAAAGTACACACAGTGTAGATAAACAAATATGAAAAAAGAAACAATTAAAAACCTGGACCATAGAAATCATAAAATGTCATTAAAGAATAGCTAACATACTATTTGATTTTGCATGTGTAGCTTAACAAATACATTTTCAAGTATCATGCCTGTCAGAAGGAATCCATTTACCAAGCAAAAAAGATCAGTCTTCTCAATTTTAGCTAATTACCAAACAGTGAAGACAAAATTCACAAGCTACTTGAAGATTCAAGCCAGACCAAAAGCTCACCTGACTTCAAGCAGAAAGCATTTACTCTGCCCTTCTAGAAAACAGTCCCAAAATATCTTGGACTGAGCACTTAAATATCCATGCGCCCAAAATTCAACAACTTTTTTGAAAATGTCATGATTACTCATCAGAAAAATCGTGACATGAAAAGAGTCTTCATTTGAGATCAGTTAATAATTTCTAAGGATAGGTCAAGTGATGCAGATGAAGAGATGACTTCAACAGATGCAAGCTCCTAAAATACAATGACACTTCTGAAATTGTCACACAGACATTCTCTTCTCTTCAGAACAAAAACTTCTAAATTCATAATGCAAAACAAAAAATAAAAGCATATGTTCATGTTGATAATAAGCCCCAGCTGGCCTCCTCCCCAGGCAGCTTCTGCAAACTTTCAGACACAGTTCTGTACTTCCAAAGGAATACCTAACATTCATATCCATCACACCATCACACACATCTACAGCGTGTGTATGTCCAAACCTGAGAGCTGCACAGCACTAAAACACCTGCTTGCAAAGTAAGCTCCTAATTATGCATCAAAAACTACTCCATTTAGTCCCAGTCCTGCAAAGAATTCTGCTCCTACTTAAATTTATGCAGCTGGGTCCTAACTGCCTGTGGCAGGGGAAATGCATAAAGATTTAAGCATATTGGAGAACTGGGACACGTGTGGAATAGATTTCAATGGAAAATTCATGGCACTTGGTGTTAGGTCCTTTCTGATCTGGAGAATGACAATGAATTCTGGCTACACTCTTCAGGCCCTCTGAAAATCACTGAATTCTTGGCAGTAATTTAGTTACAGTGACTAGGCATTAAAATATAAATACTTTGCCCTGAGGTTCTCAGTATAATTTTCAGAGAAACTATTCCTTAGCAGGGCTTGTTTTACACATAAATGGCTTGAATAACCATGCACTAGATTTTAAATATTTTGAAATCAAGGTCCATTTACAGTGACTCAAGCACAACATACTTTTACGCAAATTACATTTCAAGAAGTAAAGGAAAACTTGTGACATAAATTCAACTTTCAAAAAGATGTTTAACTTACCTGCCAGAAGTCAGCAACAGTAGCAGGGAGAGGGCCCTGGGTGGCAATATATGCAGGGTTTCGGGGGTCATGGTCCATCTGGAATAAGGAAGAAGAACACAGACTGGATTTATTTGAAGGAAATCCCTTGGAGTGTTAGAGACAGAAAGCTTGTGAGGGCAGAACAAAAAACTTCCTAAAAGACTGTCATATCCATCCACCCTTTATTGGCAAGTAAAGTGTTTTATTTCTATTTGTGAGCTCAGAGGAGAAGTTTTCCCCCAAAAGACTGATGACACCAGATGAATATCAGCACACGTGATGAGCAATGTCCCATGTCCTCAACATGCAGAGGAAGATCATTTATGGTGGCTGACAAAGGCATTTATTTGAGATCAGTACTCGTGGTTTCATAGCAACCTAGGAGCCTTTTGAAACATTTTTCTACACTGAATGTTAAGAATGCTCCACACATCTAAATATGTTCTCCATTTCCACCATGCAAGTCAAGGGCACATGTAACTAAAAAACAGCAAAAATGGGGAACAAATTCAGTTTCTGGCTTTTTCTGGTTAGCTGATTTATCTAAATGCATGGATTTGGCCTCAATGAAGGAAGTTCTGCTTAAAGACCTTAATTATTACGTTTAATTCAAGGAGCAGAAAATTCACTGAGCAGAGAAAATAAAGAATCTAAGAAACAAAGCCATCAGGAGTAAATAGGATTAGTGTGTTACAATGAATGTTTTTGAACTGATGGGTTGTTTTCTTGGTTCTAAATCTTAGGACCCATTCTGCTGAAAAAGAAGATCTGTTGATAGGATTAAAAAACAAACAAACTCATTCTAACCCTGAACTGGGCAGGACAAAACTTTGAACATAAAGAAAAGAGACCCATTTCAGCTCTGAGATGTGTGGGTGTGACTCAGTGACACTGAAGTCGGTAAGAGTTAACTTATACTCATGTAGCTGAAGGCAGAATTTGTCTCAATACACAGTTCTGTTCTATAAGTAAAGATCTGAATAAGAATGAATGTGAGTCACATTCGCATTAACAGGCATCTCCTGAATTTATTGATAGCCTATCAAAATTTTCAGTGATGGTACATGTCAGCGTAAAAAAGGCACCTCATAATTATGTGCAACATAAAAGAGGGAAGAACCATAAAAGAACAGATGTAAGTTATTCTAACAGAACAACAATATGATGAATGTTGTAAAAAGGAAAAGAACACTTTTATGTTTCTAATTTTCTGATGTATAATTAAGCTGGACTTAATATTAAAATTCTCCATGACAACACAACACAGGTAAAAGTCACTGACTCCATTTAGACTAAAAGCTTACTTCTGATTCATCACCCATAGTTACAAAAACACCTTGACCAGGATGTCTGTAATACCATCATTTTATTCCAAGTTTCATTGGGATGCTTCTCTTATCAGCAAATAAATCTTCCCAACAAGCAACTGCTCACTAGAAATGTCAACCTTGCTTTCTTTGCCTTTTGTCAAAAGCAATTCTAATAGCAGCACATTTACTACTGTGGGTATTTTAACACCAATGAAAACTAGCTTTCTTCAGAAATTGGTATTAATAAAAAAGCCCTTAGGAAAAATTTCAAAAGGGGCATTTTTTTTGTTGTTGTTGTTGTGCTTTGCTTTGTTTTGTAAGAATTGAGACTCTGAACTAAACACAGCTGAAAACAACAGTAAATGTGATCAAGCAAAGTCAAGCTTACAAGCAGGGGGGAATTTTATTTTCGGTTACAGTTGAAATAATTTGTTGTTGTCTCGTTTCGAATCCCAAAGATCTACAAGATTTAATTTTGTGGTGAAATGATTTCCTATGCTGGAACTAAAAATCTTAACTTAGAAAAATTGACCTACACCAAGGAGGATATGCTACTCCCAGAGGAAATTGTTGTAGGCTGCATCCACTCAGAACTGATGTCATTTCTCCACAGGCTAGAGCTTGGCTTGGAAAAGTAACCAACAGTAAATGCACCAAACTTTAGAAAAAATAAAATTTACTTTGAATTCTTCCTAAATTATTATTTTTTTAAAATGTAGATATGCCAGAAAACAAAGGCAGAAGAAATCAAGGATGATGCAAATAGTGCTGTCATGGAGGAAATACGTCTCAACATTCAGCTGATAAATCAGGAATAGGCCAATCTTGGCATTTCAGCATTAATCAATCTCTGTCACAAAGGTGCTGTTGGAACGTGGCAGACATTACAATAAGCACAGAATGGTGAAGTGTATCAGCAGTTTAACAATAATTCAAAAGACAATTACAATTATTACATTCCAAGCACATTGTGTTGCACAAAAAACAATTATGAGCAGAAACTCTTCTTGCTTGGAGCAAATAGAAAATGGCAGAAAATGCTATCACACTATTAAATGATCTTTAACTGAACAAAGATAAGAGCAAAGTTTACACTAATTAAATGAAATTCCTGGTTTCATCAATTTTGTATTACATGCACTGTTTAAAAGACCATGGATTTCAAGAAAAGTGTGAAAAATCCCTACTCTGGTCACATTCAATTTAATATGAGTAGGTGATGGCAAGGAACAGTTCTTGAATGTTTTTTCTTTGTTCTTTTTTATTCTCCCAAGGTCAGCAAGAACACCAAGGGCATCTTAATCTATCAAAGTTAACAGAAGTTTGAATAAAGAAATAAAGTCAGTAATGGGTTTTAAACTAACTAATCAAGGATCAAGTAAAAAGTTTTTTTTTTAATGTCAGTAGTCATTATCTTCTTTCAAGGATCCCTCAGATTTCTCACTTCAGGAAAATAAAATAGAAAATGTATTCTCCAGAGAAGAATGGAGAACTCCAGACTCCATACAATCAAGTATTAAAACAAAAATTGATTGTTTGCTAACATTTTACATCAGAACAACCTTCAGAAATCACCCTAATAATAATTGTTCAAAAAGAACATCATTTTTCCCTCTATTTCCACATCAAAGCACCAAGTTCACAAGGCTTACATCAGAATGGGATTGAACAGCCATTGTTGGAAAGAAAAACCTGCAATTATTACAACTGTTCTGCTATGGTGGAATTCTCATTTTGTGCTGCAGTACAGCAAAGGCAAATCTGGTGATAATGTTTCAATCTATTTTTCCATGATTTTATGTTAGGGGTCAAGGGTTACTATAACTGGCCATGCAATTGATTGTGCTGATTTCCATCACTACCAGTATCAAAAACAAATGAAAAGAAAAATGAGGAGCACTGAGATTTCTTCTTAGAATGGAAAAACTAGAGCAAACTTTAGTGGCACAACTTGTGTTTTCCTACAGGGCTTTGCAGTATCAGCTGACTTACAGTACCCTAAAGTAGGAAAATATATGAAGAACATAATCACAACTGGTTGCATCTTGTTAATATCAGACCAGGATTCCACCTTGGCTTTACTGCAGAATAAAAGCTGGTTCTTCCCTCAAGAGTTCAATTATCCAGCTGCCTTATTCTAAGACTTTGCAAGAATTCCCTGAAGAATACTGAATTTTGTTGCGTTTTTGATAGAGATTGTGCTGCTGCATGATTTCACTGATAATGCTGATGAAATACAGAAAAATCAATACATTGTGGGAGTAAATCCTTGAGAGTGGTACATGTAGATTCTTGTTAAGCAGTCTTGTAAAACTGCAAACTGAAGTAAAAGTGTCAATAGGCATCAATGACCATTTTGAAATTTTATGTAAATAATAATACTGATGAAGTCTTTCCCTTTACCTTCCCTTTCATCTTGTCAGATCTTTAATTTCCACAGGGTGAGATGTGGTCTCAGTCACACCATATTTACCTTCCTTTAAAGCCTCCGAGTCCATCTGAAATATTCCTGAATCATGAGATCAGAATGAAATCCAGTGTAGACCAAATATAACAGAAAATAAGTTGAAATCTGATTAACACCTTAAAAATTAGTATGGATTCAACCTTCTGTGTGGCTTCCAGACTTAATGTGTTTACAATACCAAGAAAATCTACTTCCATGCATATATTTATTACACAAAGTATAGATAGTCTTTAAAGAAGAAGTGTATTTGTTTTTGCAAAAGAAAGCATATCCTGCAAATGCAGATGAATTTTGTAATCATTCACCTCAGCATTAAAATTAAAAAGGTACACTAGTCCTCATCTTCATGTTTGAATTAAAATTTAAAACAATTTTTTTAATCCTTCCTTTTAAGCCCCTAATGGAATGAAAGAAGCAAATCTGGTTGCCTATGCCATTATGAATTTCAGAGTCTATTCTTGCTGATGAAATTTGTATGCTGTATTTGAACAAACTGTCATGCTAATGACATTCCTCAGTCTGGTGTCTTCAATAATAAGCAAACTGAGTTTTTAAATGTAGTTGATGGGATTTTTCTCTCTCAGACACCCTATGAGGAAAAACAGAATTTCCCATTTACTTTCATGACCTCTGATTTAAAAGCAAAGATTGCACATTATTTACTACTGGATGATTTTCCTGAAATTTAATGAGGACTAAGTACAAATATGACAGAAGTAATTATCACAGTTTTATTCTGCACAGTCAGGGTCTCCTTGTGCTGTAATTGCAAGCCTTTCATTCAGCTGCCTATACCAGAGTTATTATCATAGTACTTTATGTTATTTCAGAGAGGAGGGAAACAGATTTCTACCTCACTTTTACCCTGCAAATATATCCTAAGGACTCATTTTCCCTGGCCTCATGCTACAGCTAAATAAAAGACATATGGGAAGAACTTGGACTAAATCTTTCCAGATTCTCTTCACCCATTCCCAGCTGCTCTGAGGCCACCAATATAACCTCAGTTTTCACATCCTACTGTGAAGTATTGAGGTATTGAGGGGGGGCAGCATTTTTCAAAAGGAAGAAACATGTGGGCAGGTGGCCAGCTCATTGTCTAGCACAGGGATTTTTTTACAATGTGCTGCTGCACTCATTTAGACTTCAGTGAAGGTTGAGTGAGCCCCAGCTGGAGACTGGACCACTGACCCAGAAGCTGGAGATACCCAGCAACATGTACAGGACTGGCAGCCTCCCTCTCTGAAGCTCAAGTGGAATTACTTTATTTTACACTCTTCCTGCACCAGACAGCTCCCACACACAGGGAGGAAAAAGCCTCTTCCAGTCAGTTCATCCCATACTGATCCTGTGCTATCAATGCCCATCTCACAACAGTGCTCACTCCTCAGCCAGGCACTGCAAAGAGAAATGCACCAGCAGCATCACTGTATTGACAGGATAATTACTGAGGTTATTTAAGCTGAAACAGTCTGAAGGAAAGAAATGGTAGGATTTTTGCAAGAGTGAGTGAAAGCAGTTGTGCTGATACTCCACATCCACTTTGTGCTTTCAGGGACACTCACTAAATGTGTGCCTGCTACCAAAAAAGATCTCAAGCAAACAGCAGTACAAATAGCACATATGTCCAACTTAGGCTTCAATATTTGTATAAACACAGTAAATATTCCAGAATCAAGTGCCCAATTCAGTATTGCAATAGGCATTTGAAGTGGGGAGGACAAAGACTCTGCCACTTTTATATTTGACCCCATTATACAAAAACTACACCAGATTAACAAATATATTTACACTAATCTGAGGATATTTAATTTGGCTCAAAATTCAGCAGTTTGCAGGGAATCTTTCCATACCATGGGCTTGCAAAGCAGGGATTTTGTCCTATCAGCCCCACACTGCATCATCTCCAGGAAACATAGTTTGATCTATTGCTTTCAAAATAGCAAAATGACTACTGGCTAAGTGGAGCAAACTCATGTAACTAACTGGAGCATCTCTTTCCTTGGAATAACAGGTCTACACAAATGTCAGCTGTGGCATCCTCTCCTTACAGTAGGGTCTCTATCCTACTATGAAGAAGAGGAACTTGAATTTTTTCTTGGCAGTTTTTCTTGGCTGTGCAAGTTACTGGGCACTAATCCCAATCTAATGAAACACTTGTGAACCCACTTATTTCTGGGCATAGAAGTATTTCTGTAAGAGATACAAAGACAACCATAAGAATTTTTGGTTCATCAGTGTGACTTGTACTGAACAGAACTCTTGAGTCTGGGATGACAACAAAAAAAAGAAATATGTTCTAACTCTGCAGAAAGACCCTTATTAAGAGCTGATGGAAAGGCAAGATTACAGCCCTTTGTGAAAACACAAGAGTTAAAGCTGTGGGAGTTTACATGCTTGCATGAGCTTTGGGAATTTTGACAAAGCAAACTTCTTCCCAGTTTTGTCAGTGGGATATCCTAGTCCTATTCCTTCACTTACAACACTACTTCATCTAATACTTTACTCTTCAGTGTAATTAAAGAAACAGCTACACTATAATCCAAAATTACAATTGCAACAGACATATACACACATGCAAGAATTCACCCCCTTCTCCAGCCAAAATTGTGTACTAAAACTAGTTAAGCTGTGCCTACACAGACCTTTGGGCAGGTTGCAGAAATCCAGTAAAAACCCAGCAGTTGTACAACACTGAACCCCACCTAGCACTGTCTACAGATGCTGTAATTCCACTTTGATACCACGTTGTTGCCATGTGAATTACAACCAAGCTCTTACAAGAATACAGTATCTCACTCCCAGTTATCACCTCCCACTCCTGTCCTTCCCACAAAACCTCTCAGTTTCTACTATCAGATGAAGGCTTGACCAAACATAACTCACCAGCTGGGTCCTGAAGACACAAACAGAGCACTGAAGCCCTGGAGCTGGACCTCTGTGTATGATTTTACAAGCAGGATGCACATTCCTTGTAACAGGGCCTGTGATCCCCTGATCCTGGTGCCAGACACAGCTTGGTCTAGTCAGAGACATACCTAAAAGCAGTCTAAAAACTCTAATCTGTGCCTATCTACCCTTGTCCTCTGAAATAGAAACTGGCAATCCCTCAACATGCAGGTGCTTTGGCTTCCCCTCTATCCTAAGCCAAAGACAAAAAAATCCCAAAGGTGTTTTTTTTTTGGCTTCTTTCTGTGTGTTTTTTAACTCTTTGAATAAAGCACTTTTATGTGTTGAAGGAAATGAAGCTTTGAACTCTGCTGAAACAAAGATCAGGGAACACTTTTTATGTAGCTGCTGCATGTTTTTTTAAGGAAAAAAAGTATTATCAACAACATTGGAAGTAAGCAGCCTGTAATTTCATGCTGTTGCAAATTGTCAGCTGCCTTGCCCACACAAAGTCATTGAACTGGGGGAGTGATACTCCCCAGGAAAATGAACCAGTAATGGCAAATACAGCCCACTGCAGTGGGAACTTATTTTCCATCCTAAGTTCTTTCTCACAGTTGCCCTGTAATAACTTTTTGGCGCCTAATTAATGTGAATAAGAACTGTGATAAAAAGTGGCTGCAATACCAGCAGTCCCACAAGGTCAAGGACACAGTGCCTTTTCCCCCTCCACTCGGATATCCTGACACTTCCATTGAGGTGCTTTGACAGGGCAATGCCACTGGCATTACTGTACCTGTTGAGTGTCTGCAAATAGAGATCTTTTCTCCTTATCACCTTTCATGGACAAGAAGAGGACTCACATTAACTCACACAGTCATGGGAAATGGCAGCTGGGCAACACTGGAGTGTCTGGACACAAAAATTGGACTGACCTACTTTGCAGTTGGAATGAATACTCAGGGGCTAGGGGATCCTGCTCTTGCTTTCAAAACAGCAAGCTCAGAGAAGAACCAGGAGAGCTACAGAACCACCAGACTGTGCATCACTAGGTCAACAGAATAAGAAAGGTAAGAGGAAATGTCACTTCCTAATGCAGAAGAAGCTCAGAAGTCTGTGGAGCTCAGGCCTCCAGCCTACAGAAACAATTCCTCCTACTGTAGCTAGTAGGACAATACAAAAATGAACAAGCTATTTTTACCTCTCAGGAGAAGGAAAAGCTCCACTAAAGTAAAGCACTGAATTTTATAATATGTAAGTTAATAATTTCTAATATCAAGTACAGAAAAACTGACAGTATTACAAGGTAGAACGAGGGTTATCTAGTGACTTTTTCTTAGTAAATAAACTTCAAGGATTGCATGCATATATATTTCTCTTCAATTTGAAAGGACAGGCTGCAGCACCAGCATTGTGAGGTACTCACAACCTGAGATTAGCAGTGAGGTGCCTGGAGTGACCCTATTTTGGCAACAAGGATCAACTACTTGGAACACTTCTCATAAATTACCATACTTACAATTGGACTGGCATTGATGTAGTCTGAATTGTCGTGGCTACTTTCACCTTTCAGACATATCCTGGAATGGTCATCTGCAAAGGAGAAAACAAGAGAAGAAAGTTTCTACACAGTATTCTACACATTTTATGTTAGACAATTCAAAGCCAGAATAATGTGCTTTTCAAGAGAGGAAAATATCAGAAAGGATGTTTCCTTCTGACTCCCAACCTAGCCATAGGGTGGATACAGCCACAGTAACACAGCCTGACTGAGGAATGAAACAATGGGATATTGCAGAGGCTTGGTATCACAAAGGCTGTGTCCATGAGTTGCACTGATGTGCTACAACCTCTCATAGGAAAAAAAAAAAATCTCTTCTGTTCAGGGAGTTTAAGATTTAAACTAGGCAAACCACTAAAACCCCCCAGTATTATAGCAAACATTCCTGTGCTTGCAGGGTCATGGAAGAGGGAAGCTGATGGGACTTTGTCCATCTGGCTTCTCTAAAATAGGAACAGCAGGGGCATGGAAGTACTGAGAGCTGGGCAGTAAGTTAATCTGTCCTGGTCAAAGACCAGTGCTGTGTGGTGTTCCACTCGTGACATGGAGAGACAATATGACTTGGAGATGATCATGGGAGAGGAAAAATGCCAACAATTTCACTTAAAGCACAACTGGAGCACACACAGATATCTTACACTTCAGACACCAGTGAAGAAAACAGCAATTCTGGACATAGGAGACTCACTCCTGTTTGCCCATCATCACAATTATCACTTTTTAACTTGGAATTATACTGCTGCTAGCTCAATTATATTTAAAGCTGGTACACCCCAAACTCTAGTCCTTTTTTATTTTATAATTATTTCTACATCAGAACACATATAATGGACAGGTTTTATTTGTCTGTACTCAGGCAGAGACAATGCAGATATCTGCATCTCTTCCAATCATCCAGACTCACTTGCTGTTATGAGAAATGTTTCTATGTGATGAATCATTTCATCCTGTTTTAGCTGTCACAAACAGGCCAAATTGTGTTTAAGAAATGCCATTTCTTTCCACTGACTGAAGAAAGAAAGCCCAGACCACACTCAGATAATTTTAGAGATGTCTAAGTCTACATATGAATTCCAAACAACTTGTACCTGATATATAACCAGCACAATTTTTACTTCTCAGGAAACCTATCCTGCACAGTATATGGTAGAAAGAGGTTGTGGAGCTGCCCTTTCTGTAACCCTCTATAGCTGAACACAGATACTGATGTTTTGAGAGGATTGAGGATGAAAAGGACAGGACAGGGAACATGCTCATGTACATTTTTCATTTCCATCCCACTTTGGCACCACTGCACAAAAAAATCCAAAATATAAATAAGAACTTTTGACACCTGAGATCTTGGGCTACCAAATATTTTTTACAGAAGGCTTTGCAATGAGCAGTGTCACAGAGTGCTTTGAAGAATTGCAGCTCTGAAACCTTCTGGCTTTGCAGAGGTAGACAGGTTACATGCAGTAAATGTGGTCTCTCACATACCTTAAGCTAAGCAAGCACTCAGGATAAGCCCTGTTCATTGAATAGCAAAAATGTTTGAACTAATCACCAAAGGAAACGTGTGAAATGTTTTCAGAGGATGAAGGAGAGAGAGCAGACAGTGATTCATCAGTACTTAGCAAACAGATGTCAGGGTGACTCTCCAGTAAGAGTCAGGTGTGAGATCAGTAACTTATGGATCTTTTTTTTTCAAAACATAGTGTTTTCTCCAGACCCTCTGATTTAGTGTGCCATGTCATTATCTTGCAGTCTTGGAGGGCTTATCAGAGGGCAAGACATGCTAAGGGTTTGGTAGTGAAAAGGTGTTGAGACTGTGTTTGCTCTTAGAAAAAAGAAGTGTACAAAAAAGGTTCTACATGTCTTTCTGCGTATTTCAAGAGTTTGCACCCATGTGTGCTTCCATTGCAGCATCAAACATTCATATTGACAATGAACAGATTGTGCTTGTCTGTGCATCTTATCACCTCAAAGCTTCTAGGAACAAGCATAATAGCTCTTCTGAAACAGGCAGGGGAAGAAGAAAATGAAAAAAAACCTCAAAAGAGTACCATGGACACAGATTATGATGTTAACAATGAGCAACTATGGGGAAAATGCCAAATGTACAGATTTTTTTTGTTTGTTTGTTTTTGCAAACTGCATATTGATTATAAGAGAAGCAGGAAAAGCAGGAAATACAAGTAAGGAAGGTATGTCAGAAAAGGAAAAGGAGAGGGGAGAGGAGAGGAGAGGAGAGGAGAGGAGAGGAGAGGAGAGGAGAG